CTCTCTCCCTCGCTCTCCCTCTCTCCCTCGCTCTCTCTCTCTCCCTCGCTCTCCCTCTCTCCCTCGCTCTCTCTCTCTCCCTCGCTCTCTCTCTCTCCCTCGCTCTCCCACTCTCCCTATCTTTTTGTACAAATGTATTGTTTAACCCCCCCCAGAATCTGCCGCCATTCATGATCTATCCAGGTAATGGTCAGCTGTCCTTTTACCCGTTTCCTGTCTGTGTTGAATAAAGAAAGAACAATCTACTTTTCCCAAGTGTCCTTCTGAGCAGAGTCTGCTTGAGGCCGACGTCGGCGGCAGATGAGATTTTTATCTCCGGGAATAAATCCCCCTTTAATTCTGAGTTTTCCGTGTGTTAGGAGCCCGTCGCGGCGTTTGTTTTCCATGTTCCAGCTCGCAGTCTGTCATTGTGTATTTACATTGGGGACCGGCCTTTCACTTTGTGACTTCTTATTTATATATCTGTCCTTCTTTCTTTTTCATGTGCACCTGTCATTTTGTAGACTAAAACCCAAATCCAGCCAACGCCTGGAAGAGTTAGAATCTCCGAGGTTGTCACTTCTGTCTACTTTATACCTTCCAAAGGATCCCCCTTAACCCAAAGTCCCTCTACACCCAAATCCCTCCATCCCTCTCTCCTCCACAACTGTCCCTCTTCTAGACCCAACTCCCTCCAGCCCTCTCTCCTCCACAACTGTCCCTCTTCTAGACCCCACTCCCTCCATCCCTCTCTCCTCCACAACTGTCCCTCTTCTAGACCCAACTCCCTCCATCCCTCTCTCCTCCACAACTGTCCCTCTTCTAGACCCAAATCCCTCCATCCCTCTCTCCTCCACAACTGTCCCTCTTCTATACCCAAATCCTTCCATCCCTCCCTCCTCTACAACTGTCCCTCTTCTCAACCCAAATCCTTCCATCCCTCTCTCCTCCACAACTGTCCTTCTTCTATACCCAAATCCCTCCATCCCTCTCTCCTCCACAACTGTCCTAGACCCAAATCCCTCCATCCCTCTCTCCTCCACAACTGTCCTTCTAGACCCAAATCCCTCCGTCCCGTTGTATAATCTTCATAATGCTGTATCCCGTCACCTAAACCTTACAAACCTTTCACCGTGAAAAGAAGAAGAAAAAAAGCACAAATGTCTCGTCTTCCTCTTCTCCTCAGCTCTGCACAATGACAGGTTCTCTTCCATGAATATTATTTAACAGGCAACTCATCGTATGACCATTCCCGCCACTGCTAACGACTTTATAGCCAATCGCGTCTGCATTTCCTTTCCTTCCAGTGTTGCACACTTCATCTAAAAAAAATCCCCCCAAAAAAATCTCTTCTCTTTCAGTTTTTATCTAGTCTGTCCAAAGGGCCGACACTGTGAGCAGCTTTTGCACCTTGTAGAGAAGACCCTATGTGTAGGATGTTCAATAAACTCTTTATACCCCACTCCTGGTGTCTTGGCGTACGTCTGTGACCGTGACCATAAAGTATAAAGTGTCTTGGGGACTGTGTGTGTTGAATCAGCCAATTGTAGTGACCATTGGAAGCCAGGGTGACAACACAGGAGCACAATTAGAATACTGGGACGGAGCGTTGTCACCCTATAACAGGAAGTGAGTAAGCAAGGACTTTTATGGATGGATCACCAGGATTTTTTTGATTGCTGAGGGTGCAGTGTTTCCTTCTCCAGTTCTGGGACTATTGGGATTATTCTCAAGACAGGTCCACAGGGTCGGATTTACTCTCCCTGCCGCCCCAAGGCCAGGTTCCACAATACGCCCCCCCACCCCGCCCGACGGAACCAGAGGAGAGAGGTAAGTGCAGGGGGAGGGGAGGCAAGTCCCCCCCTACTTAAAAGAACTCTGACTTCACACATTCAGGCTGATGGGAAATCTGTCCAATGGGGATCAATAAGGAAAGAGTTGGAACCTCTGTCCTTTATTGATGTCTGTTCTTTTCCATTTCCGGTGACAACACCTCCTCCCTTTTTCTTGTCCTGGTGTCACGGGGACATACAATGAGGGGAAGTTTTACTTTATAGGGTCACGGGCAAAAATGCAAACCTGACAAATTGCTGAAGACCAAACATCCTGGCTGGAGTCGATGGTCACTGTCGGCGTGTGCACTGGTATGGCCAGTGTCCACGACTTCCTTGCAATGTGAATAGCTGCCCTGGAGGGGATCGCCCGACCCCGCCAAACCGGAATTTCACTTTAAATGGCTTATTGAGCTGTAGGCATTGTGACCTGCAGATAAGCAGAGCTTTGAATAAGAGGTTTTAAAGGTCAGAAAGTCAAAAGGTTTGGCACAGCAGACATTCGCGAACACCGTTCTCCTACTGGGACACAGACTGCAGTGCCCATGCCTGAAAGAAGGGGGCGCTGCAGACCCCTTGAAACGTGCTGCTTAATGTTTTATGTCGTACACTAATAAAGTGATCATTGTTCTTCAACTGGCTGGAGTGTCCAAGACTTTCTATTCATGTATAATGCTCCTCACCCACCTTCACCATCTTAATAGGGTTGAGCTTGGGGCTTGGTGTAGGCCCATCAAGTTCCTCCACACCCTACTGGTCACACCATGTCTTTATGGAGCTGGCTTTGTACACAGGGGACAGTCATGGTGGAACAGAAAAGTGCCTTCACCAAACTGGTCACACCATGTCTTTATGGAGCTGGCTTTGTACACAGGGGACGGTCATGATGGAACAGAAAAGGGCCTTCACCATCTTAATAGGGTTGAGGTCAGGGTTTTGTGTAGGTCTGCCAAGTTCCTCCACACCCTACTGGTCCAACCATGTCTTTATGGAGCTGGCTTTGTACACAGAAAAGGACCTTCACCACCTTAATGAGGTTGAGGAGGTGAGGCCTCGATGTAGGCCCCTTAAGTTCCGCCACACCCTATTGGTCAAAACATATAGGATGGAGCTGGCTTTGTGCAAATGGGAACAGTCATACTGGGATAGAAAAGAACCTTCACCATCTTAATAGGGTTGAGGTCAGGGCTCGGTGTAGGCCTCTCAAGATTCTCCACACCTTAATGGTCCAGCCAAGTCTTTATGGTGCTAGTTTTGTGCAAATGGGAATAGTCATTTTGGAACACAAAAGGACCTTCGCCATCTTCGTAGGGTTGAGGTCAGGGCTTAATGTAGGATTCTGGATTTCCTGCACACCCTACTGGTCCAACCATGTCTTTATGGAGCTGGTTTTGTACACAGGTGCCAGGCATACCGAAACAGAAAAGGATCTTCACCATCTTATTAAGGTTGAGGTCAGAGCTTGGCATAGGCCCCTCATGTTCCTCCACACCCTACTGGCCCAAAACATGTCTTTTACGGAGCTGATTTTGTATACGGGACAGTCATGCTGGAACAGAAAAGGACCTTTACAATCTTAGTAAGGTTGAGGAGGCGAGGTCTCGGTGTAGGCTCCTTAAGTTCCTCCACACCCTATTGGTCCAACCATATCTTACGGAGATGGTTTTGTGCAAATGGGAAAATCCTGCTGAAACAGAAAGGACCTTCGCCATCTTAATAAGGTTAAGGTGAGGCCTCAGTGTAGGCCGCTTATGTTCCTACCACACCCTACTGGTCCAACCATAGGTTATGGATGGACATTGTGCGAATGGGAACAGTCATGCTGGAACAGAAAGGACCCTCGCCATCTTAATAAGGTTAAGGTGAGGCCTCAGTGTAGGCCCCGTATGTTCCTCCACACCCTACTGGTCCAACCATAGGTTATGGAGCTGGCTTTGTGCGAATGGGAACAGTCATGCTGGAACAGAAAGGACCTTCACCATCTTCGTAGGGTTGAGGTCAGGGCTTAATGTAGGATTCTGGATTTCCTGCACACCCTACTGGTCCAACCATGTCTTTATGGAGCTGGTATTGTACAATCTTGCTAGAACATAAATCGAGCTTCACTGTCCTAAAAATAAGGTGATGCCTCGGTGTAGGCCCCTCAAGTTCCTACCCATCCTACTGGTCCAACCATATCTTACAGGGCTGGTTTTGTGCCAATGGGAACAATCATGCTGGAACCGAAAAGGACCTTCACCATCTTCGTAGGGTTGAAGTCAGGGCTCGGTGTATACCACCCTACTGGTCTAATATTCTCTTTATGGAACTGGTTTTGTGTAAACAGGGAAAGTCATATCAGAGGTGTCACCATGTGGGGTGCCGCCCGGTGACACGTCATTACACAAGCATACAATAATGTCACATGCTCTTTTCTGCTGGCGGCCATGGTGATGGACGCCGGCAAAGAGAGGAGGCGATGTTCATCCGGCGGGATGAGGTATGCCGCCGGGTCTCCTCCTCTCTTGTGCAGCTGTTGGGCTCTCGGTCTATGAATGAGTGCCTGACTTTTCAGAGGGGGGTGACATCAAAGTGACTACCAGTCATTTTGGTGCCACCCAGTGCAGACCACACCCCCCTTGAGACGTCACAAGGCCTTCACCAAATTGTTGCCACAAGGTATAAACTATCTTTGTACGGTGTAGCATTACCAGTACAATATGGGGACCCCTGGAGCACTCTACAACAAGACTTCTAAAGGGTCCAGAAGACTTCTTCGCCAATGGGCAGCCTGGGTCACCTGGTGAGGTGATTTAACAACCAGTTTGCAAATCTGATTGGTTTGATACATTGCAAACTCCATTTAGGCGAACCGATAGGCTCATCACTTGTGCCAAGCCCTGAGACTGATTTGGGCAACAGTGACCTATAGGAGTTAAAGGGCCAGTTCACCCCAAAACTGACAATTTGGTGATTGGTAGATGCTGATTAGGGTGCCGAATATGCACTTCTCCGTGTGTCACCGCTCTCGCAAAGCCGGTGTTCTGTCGAAATGGCCAACTCGTCAAGATCTCCAACTCGTAATGTCACATCCTTTGGAGATTTCGACGAGATGGCGCTAGCCTTGGCATTTTTCCAAGCCCCGTTGACTTGCCCAATTGGCCTAAGTGCGCCTGTGCGGCCTCACAATCCTCATTCGAGTTCTCCAACCGGCATCACGGCTCGTGCCATCGGATGCCCGTGCAAGCGCACTACCGCAAGAGAACGCGATACTGCTCTTAGGTGGCCGCGCAGGCGCACTGACGGGAGTTGGAGATCTCGACAAGTTGGGCATCTCGATAGAGCACCGGCTGTCTGAACAATGTAACATTCTGGTTGCTTGCTGGGAGCAATGCATGATGGGCTACGTAGTCTTGAGAAACGGAGAAGCAGCAGGGAAAGCACATTGGGAAATGGGTCGCGTTGTAACCTTGTTGGCGCCTTCTAAACTTTTCGTTAAAAAAAAAATCGAATCCAAAAGTAAAACCTGACCGAGGACGGAACCTTCCCCTCGAGTCGGGCTTCCATCTAAAGCACACAACTTGTCCTGGGCAAAGCCGCGTCTACCGTGCAAACACCTAAATCCGCGGCGGCCTGGCACCGCCACGCCTTCTTACCGAGAACAACAGCGGCCATATAACAGAAATGGAGGAAGTGTTCAATTCTTTGTGTGAATCGTTGTACACAAATATAGACGTGACCGCGGGAGGGAGGAGGGGTGATAACGGGTCATCCAACGCGGTCACACTAGAGTATGAAAATGATACAATGTAAAAAAAAAATGTATGTTACCATTTTAACTGCAAATGAATAAAAGTTGTTACATTCTCTTCCATCCTCCTGTGTAAAAAAAATTTGAGAGCAGCAGTGGGCGGTCTTTATTACAATAGGGGGAGGAGACCAGACCAGTCACCCTGCACAAGGAGAAAGACCAGCAGTGAGCGGTCTTTTTTTTACAGGAGGGGGTGGAGACAAGACCAGTCACTCTGCACAAGGAGAGAGAGAGGAGCAGTGAGTGGTCTTTATTACAGGAGGGGGCGGAGACAAGACCATGCACCCTGCACAAGGAGAGGGAGCAACAGTGAGCGGTCTTTATTACAGGAAGGGGCGGGGACGAGACCAGTCACCCTGCACAAGGAGAGAGAGAGAGGAACAGTGACCGGTCTTTATTACAGGAGGGGGCAGAGACAAGACCAGTCACCCTGCACAAGGAGAGGGAGCAACAGTGAGCGGTCTTTATTACAGGAAGGGGCGGGGACGAGACCAGTCACCCTGCACAAGGAGAGAGAACAGCAGTGACCAGTCTTTTTTTTTACAGGAGGGGGCGGAGACCAGACAGGTCACTCTGCACAAGGAGAGAGAACAGCAGTGACCGGTCTTTTTTTACAGGAGGGGGCGGAGACCAGACTAGTCACTCTGCACAAGGAGAGAGAGAGGAGCAGTGAGCGGTCTTTATTACAGGAGGGGGCAGAGACAAGACCAGAGGATCAACATGACTGACAATTAGTTATAATTTTCGGAAGGACAGGTCTACAATGACACCCCACCCCCCATCATTCTCTTAGCACAGGTTTGCTTTACATTTTTTAAAAAACGAACACCCAAATAACTTCAGAACGTATCAGGGTGAGTTGTTGCCTCTCTACGTTAGATTCGAAGTCTCACACATGGCAGACGCTCCCTTCCTGGAAGCTACGAAGCGGGCTCTTGTCAGTCGGTCCCTGGGCGGTGCGTTGTGACATCAGAGGGGGATCTGGAGCTACATTGTTGCAGAGTCAGGTCAGTAGTAATCCCGGGGCTGAGAGTGCGGTCAGCTGAGCTGCCCTTTCCTGGGGGGGAGGTCAGACCGGCCGTGGGGTGCAAC